ACCCTTTCTGGGCGGCCGGCGGCCATCTTGGGCCAGGGCAAAGGAAGGGACGTTGCAAAACGGGCGGGGGATGATTCCTCGCCTGCAACAGAGGGAGGAGGGAGTGGGGCCCGCGGCCAGACAGAGGGGGGAGGGGTCCCCAGATGGAAGGGGGGGGGAGAGGGGAGAGTAACTCCCCACCAGTGAGCTGGCACATAGGGTTGCCAGCTCCCGGTCGGGAGGCACCTGGAGATTTGGGGGCTAGAGAGGGAGACCTTCGTGTGGTATAGATCCAAGGCAGCCCTTTCCTCCAAGGCAGCCCTTTCCTCCAGGGGGGGGGGGTGATCTCTTGTCCTCTGGGGGATCACTCATCATCGTCCCAGGAAATCTCCAGCTCCCGCCTGGAGGTTGGCAACCCTAGGGGCAGGGTTTGTGGGGGGGGCGGGACCTCAGTGTGGTGTAAGTGCCGTGAGAGTCCGCCCTCCAAAGCAGCCCTTTCCTTCAGGGGGAACTGATGTGACGTCTGGGTCCCGGAGAGATCGGTTGTAATAGAAGAAGAGGAGGAGGAGGAGATGGGATGTATCCCCCATGGCCCTTCACTACCCCCAAAGGAGTCTCAGAGCGGCTGACAAGCTCCTCTCCCTTCCCCTCCCCACCACAGACAGACACCCCCTGGGAGGCGGGTGGGGCTGAGAGAGCTCTTGACAGAAACTGCTCTTTTTCAAGAACAGCTCTGCCAGAGCTGTGGCTTGGCCAGGGTCATCCAGCAGCTGCAATTGGAGAAGTGGGGAACCAGACCCGGTTCTCCCAGATTAGAGTCCGCGCACTTAACCACGACACTAAACTGGCTCTGCCCAAGAAGAAGAAGAGATTGGATTCATACCCCATGGCCCTTCACTACCCAAGGGAGTCTCAGAGCTGCTTGCAAACTCCTTCCCCTTCCCCTCCCCACAATAGTGGGGAATCGCCGGCCCCCACCTGGAGGTTTAGAATAAATACATTGAAGTACAGCAGAGAGGGTTGTGCATATAACCACACCGTCAAAAACTGCAACGCCGTCCCCAAAAGAGCTGCAGGACCCCCTACTACACTGTTCATAGGAGAATGTTTCGATTCAAGTGTCCAGTATTTTGGGGTACGGCGTTACAGCTTTTGACTGTTGTTATATGCACCCCCTGGAGGTTGGCAACCCGAGATAGATTCTGACCTTTCTGGACAGTCCCTGAATATCACAGAACAGTTCCCAAGGGCTGCTTTGTCCATACTCAGAGGCAGCTTCGGTGTTGTCAGGCTTGGACTCCATAGAGACTGGGAGCAGGCAGCCCACTGCAGGGAGAAAACACACCCTGATCCACCTCCCCAGGGCTTCCACTTTGCCGGCTCCCTTTTCCCCGTGTGCGCAGACATTGCTTATGAAGCACTGTGTGGTGTGATCTATCGAACCCTGACAGAGTTGAGCGAAGGCGAGGAGACCATGCCGGTGACTACATCCACCCCACCCACCCCCCGGTTCCGAGCACCGTTATAAAACGCAGGCAGACAAAAAAGGTTCTGAGGGCTGGGACATCCAGCCAGGGGAATTGGTCTCTGTTTCCACTAAGAACATCCGGGGTCTTCACCCTACGCGTAAACTGGGGTGGAAGTGAACCGGCCCTTTTCAGGTGTTGTGTAAAATCAATGACGTGACTGTTGAACTGGGACTGCCTAAACATTTAAACTTTTTGCATCCCATTTTCCATTTCAGCTTCTTAAGATGGGATCCCAACGGGCACAGCCGCACCCCACCCCCCCATGGTGCAAGGCAGACAGCATTTTGAAGTGACTGATATATTGGGACTCTAAAGCTTAAGCGTAGTAAGTTGTACTATTTGGTGGAATGGGCTGACTTTGGGCCGCAGCATCGCGAGTGGGTGGCGGTGGGTCCCTGTGAGGCAGGTGGGGCTGAGAGAGCTCTTGACAGAGACTGCTCTTTTTTCAAGGACAGCTCTTATCAGAACTATGGCTTGCCCAAGGTCATCCAGCAGGTGCAAGTGGAGGAGGAGGAAGAAGAGATTGGATGTATACTCCATGGCCCTTCACTACCCGAAGGAGTCTCAGTGGGGCTCACAAACTCCTTTCCCTTCTCCTCCCCAGAACACCCTGTGAGGCGAGTGGAGCTGAGAGAGCTCTGGACAGAAAGGACTCTTTCTCAAGGACAGCTCGTCAGAGCTTGTGACTGACCCAAGGTCATCCAGCCGGGTGCGAGTGGAGGAGCCAGGAGGAGTGGGGGAATCAGACCCGGTTCTCCCATCAAGGCCCCTCGTCTTCTGTGCAAGTTCCGCTGTCGTTTCCCGGGGGAAATGGGGGGGGGAGAGCTTTTGGAAGGGCAGGATGTCAGTTAACACTGCCATTCTCTGGAATGTGTGTGTGTGTGTGGGGGGGGAGATCCTCCTCGCCTCTGGCTGGTACACTAACAAAGTCTCCTGTCTGGGTTTTATCTGCTTTTGCTTTTGTGACCTTGGATGTGCCAGCTGCTACCGACTCGCTGGGAACAAACGGCTTCTACTTTTGCTCACTCTCTTTCCCCCACGTGCGTGGACATTGCTTATTGGCTTCTGCTTGTAGAGGGGGATGTTTTAAACCTAGTATAATTCAGGCCATTCCTGACACAAGAAGTTCACGTGTTATAGTTATGAACTACCAATAAACAGAATTCTTCTTATGAAGCTCTGTGTGGTGTGATCTGACTGTCGAACCCTGACACTCTGCAGCAATAACATCACACGCCCATTTTAAAAGGTGTTTATTTCGAGTGGAACTTGCACAAAACATGGGAGAGATGCTCATGCTTCCCTGTGTGGCTTACAGATTTCCCCCCCCCCCCAATCAGAAATGTCAAAAGCTTCCTGGCGGGGAAGGCTCCGAATCCAGACCTGCCTCTCCCATATCCTCACGTGATCCACTCTAACCACCAAGCACTGGCTGTTCTGTACCCTGGGAAGTGGGGGGGAAACGGCCACAGGTGGTCCTGACTCTGGTCTGCACCCGGCACGGTCCACATGGAAAGAGCCCGTGTAGCCGTAGGACCCGCACCGTGTCCTCAGCATAGTCAGGCACCGGGTGGGGGGGATGGATGCACTTTACCACTTCACTCCTGAGAAGGTCAGTGGAGAAGGCTATTGGGTATTACAAGTTGAAAACACTCAGTATATCTGGGGTTAAATGTTGCCTCTTAAGATGGGATCCCAACGGGCACAGCCGCCCCGCCCCCCCGATGGTGCCAGGCAGACAGCATTTTGAAGTGGCTGATATATTGGGACCCTAAGCTTAAGCGTAATAAGTTGTACTATTTGGTGGAATGGGCTGACTTTGGGCCGCAGCATCGCGAGTGGGTGGCGGTGGGTCCCTGTGAGGCAGGTGGGGCTGAGAGAGCTCTTGACAGAGACTGCTCTTTTTTCAAGGACAGCTCTTATCAGAACTATGGCTTGCCCAAGGTCATCCAGCAGGTGCAAGTGGAGGAGGAGGAAGA